ATCGTGCTGAGGACACGCTCTATAACTTGTTCGCCATAGTTGGTGAGCTTTGCTCAAGAGTTTCATTTTATTGTCTGTGCGAAACATCTAACGCGGCGGTTGTAGGGAAGTGAGATCGTCTCTTGCGTAGCGTCTTGCCACCCCTTCTGTTCGTGCAACCGACGACACTTCTCGCTTCGAGTCAGCTCTACACCACAGAAATACTATAATATCCGGTGAATTCTCGAATCGTCTTTTCTGAGGCTCTTTTTAAACAAAATACAATACTGGTTCTTACCACTTTTTTAGCTCATCCACTCTCTTTACAATGTAATATTGTATTATGTATTGTTTTAATACTAAAATCTCTTTATTTGAGCATAAATCTGACTTTATAAATTGTCCTTAACATTAAGTTCAATAACACACCACCATGAAGTTTCACTTCTGCTGAAGGTCCCAAGATGTGTACGCCCTTACTTTTTTTTACATAACAAGTTTCAATGTCTTGTTAATCAAGTCAACAGTACAATAAATAGATAAACAGTACCTTCAAGATCATGAAAATTTACAAATTCGTGGTTCTCATGATTTAAGTAAGCTGAAAAGTTGTTATTTTGATGTTCAAAATTTGACAAGGATTTATCCATCCAATGTTATTTGATCGAATGTAATCTTCAGTAATTTGAATAAAAGTACTTGTTTTTCAATTATCTACATTTTTTAATACCTAGTTTTCTCTTTTAACACAAAACTGTAATCTTATTGTCACGTTAATCGACGTAATAATATGTTACTGGCTTTGCACGGTAGTGTCCCACCTTTATTTTGATAGATTACAAGAAATGTCTCACACACATCAAGTCCGTGAAAGTATATTTACCTCCGCTTCCAACTATAGAAACGTAGTTGTAGAGATCCTGTCACGAAAAACCACCCGGCGACACTTCACTACCCCGGCAGCTTTATAAATATAACGAAATGTCCCCTTTCAAAAGCTACCGGTGACGTGTCTCTTGGCCGTGCCTATCTGTCAGTCAAGTGCTACTCGAAAAACACGATATCCCTACATCGATCACGATCGGCTGAGAAGATAGGGAAAAAACATGACCTTATCCAGGTCGATCGAGCGATCCGAGAAATTTCCGCGATCCCGGGCGTGTTCCGCAGTATCTAGAAGAAACGAAAAAAAAAAAAAAAAAAAAAAAAAAATTCACTGGTACCGAGTTGGTCACCGAAGCATGCAAATTATTGGCCAGAGACGGATCGGAATTTGATACTGGACGGGTAATTCAGGGTGGACTGCGCAACAATTGACTCGCGATCTCCCTCCAGCTTTTATGTGTCGTATCCTCATTGTCCTCGTATAGCAAAGCGGGGACGCCCAGGTGTCCGATTCGCAAGCGAACAATTGCCGTAATGAAATCCAGTGTCATGACAAAGACTGAAATTATCCTGTCCATACGCAAGAATTGATGGGCAAAAATCGAGGCGGAGTACAATTGGTTGCACCAGCTTCTTCAAATTTCACGATTTGATAAAACTTTTGATGATAATCAGTGCACATGTTGTACCCAAATTGAGCCATCAAGAAGTATCGATTGGCGCATCTTGAATATATATTTCGACTGAAAAACATCGCTAATGGCGCGACACCTCATTACGTTATTTACTGGGCATTACACGGTTACAAACTGAAGCACCGATGATAAAGCTAAGGTGAAATGAGGCACGAAGCATATTGATTAGAGCTACCACACAAAATGTGCAGCTACAGATTCCGCCCGAGTCAAAATGGTGATTGATTGGTTTTGTGCTTCGTATCGATAGCCAGAGGCATTCTGTCGGCTCTGGAAAACAAAACGTATTATTTTTCGTGAAAGATGCCAATGGTGAACACAATGCGTTTATTCCGATTTCACGAGATGACTTTTTCAAGAATCGCCACTTTGAGTACAAATTTTTTGTGATTGGAAACCTAGAAAATTTTTACCGAAAATGTGGATCATAGCTCATGAGGCGCTTGCGCTAAAAACGAGGACATTTGCACACTGGCGAGCAAACGACAGGGCATTTGAATGAAAGAAATTTCCACCCATGTCGTTCAAGCTTGATAACTCGATTTGGCGTTGGAGGAGAGGATCGCATTTCGCGGAAAATCGAACTTGCCGATGTAGCGACGTGCAAGCTCCCCGCTCTCTGACAACTATTAGCGAAGTGGTGGGGAAACGTTCTCCGGGAAAAGTTTATCGTGTACACCGGTAGCCTCGAGGTGGGTCGGGATTTCGCGGTTTAACATTCTGCTGGCTACACGCAGCGCAAATTTCTCGATACTTCGGCTTTCCCTCCTGTGGTTCTATTGCGAAATTCTTCGAGGGATGGATATAAAAAGTTGTATTCGCTGATGATCTATCATGTTGTTTGATATCTTGATAAAAGCGTATCTGATGATAATTATGCGTATAAAATGATGTTTGGTTGAGATGGAAAAGTTTTCAAAGTTTTTAAAAGGTCCAATTAATCTGAAAATACAGACGCCAAGGTGGTGAGAAAAACCATATATTTCTATGGAATCACATCTAGATTTTTTTACAATAACTTCTTGCCACAAGCAGTTATAAAATAATCAATAAGAGTCAGTAATTAAATGATCTAAATTAAAGAGAATAAGTCACACGTAAAGCTTGATTTCATTTCTCATGGAATTGTGTATCTACCAACGCATAATTTGAAAAATAGAAGGGCTCAAAGCCCTTGCTTCACGCAACCTTCACAAATTAAATTACACAGTTCAATAATTAAATGCAGGTCTGATCCTCTCGAATTTCATCGCCAAATGCACAATTAGGACACCGCATCGGCAGCCCTGATTATCAATACGAGCATCATCAGCTACCGATGATTCTCGATATTCTTCGCTGGCGTTGGCACCCGAGTGTACATTGTACATGAAATCACTCCCAAACAGAATAAATATTCATTCTCCGATCCCCCGAGGCTTCCTTCAAAATTTTGCTGCCCAACGAGGGGACCTTTCGCTCGGAAAATAAGCCACGCGTACCAAATCAACGGTAGTATTTCGTATCCATCACCGAGTAGATTATCTCATGTACCTTGGGAGGGTGCAGCTAATTCTCGCTGCATCGTTGGTGCACGTGTATCCGGTGTAGCGATACCGCCGTAGAAGCTACTTTACGCCGTTGGTACGCGAAATGACTCGATCAGGAGGCGAGCTTGCGTAGCGTCGGCTGTCCATAATCGAGCGCACTTGCTCGGAATAATTGAATTGCGTAGGGGTAATTTCCTACCTCTTTTTTTCCCCCTTCGGTTCATATCATGCTGATTTTCTAGTGATGATTGCAGCTCATTATTAGTATTACTAATTAGTGTTGCTATAGTAGCCCAAGCTTTTCTCCCGTAAACAATGCGTGACAATGGATTTTTGAATATCCTTAATGGGGATGAGAAAATTTTTTAAATTTTTTAGCTCAAGCTTAACTTGGGCTATTGCTTATGACTAGTTGAAAGCTTAAGATAACGCTGATTCAGAAATGTCCACTTATGTTAGTAACTTTAAACATTTTTAAAGCTAAATTGGGAAAATAAATATTGGAAATGAGGGTGTCATGTGGAAAACAATTTGTTTCTTTAATTCAGATTTCCACGATAGCAAAATGAAAGTATTTCAATTGCTAATGGCCCATAAGTGATATTCTACAATAAAAAGAGTACTTACTCTTGGAGTGGAAAAGGCAGATTTCAATTAAAAAGTAATATCAAGTGTGCGGAATTTACAAGAATGTTAATTATTTTTTGTTCTTTTATGTTTTTGTTTTATAAGTACTTAGAATTCACATTTTTCATCATTACTCAATAATTTCTTTTGCTTTTCGATCTCACTTTTTCCTACATCTCAGCTCAAGTATTTGCTATTCATAAACATAAGTATTTTTCCATGACTAGACCACACACGTGTACAGATACATATTTGTACACTTGAAAAGAAAAAAGCTTTTGTGTGCACACGAGAGGGTAAACACCTACTTTCAGGGGAAGAAGTTGTATCAGAGTTTGTGTTGGTAGTCACTCCATTGAAACGAGCCAAAGAAACTCAAAGGAAAAGCTTCGTTTCACTAGTTGGCTCTAATACACATATGTATGTTGGTGTGACCGTAATTCAAGGGAGAGGGTATTCACGTACATGTAGACACACTATTACCACAGTGTTTTCAAAAGAAGTAAAGAAAAGGTTCGACTATTTCTTAGTCAGTGCAAAATTTTAAATATGTGGTATTTTAGGAGTGTATGAGTAATTAGGACAGATCTATTTGGCTGATAAATATCAAATAGATATTAAAACAAAACTTAATAGGAATGTCCTATGATATTTACGAGCAAAAGTCTCAGTTCGATAAATAATGAGACACATGTACTTACTTTCGATTAAATTTGCACAAACTAAATGTGCAGCTCTGAAAAGAAAGCTTTTAGGTTGAATAAGTAAAGGAGCTTTCAGAGGTATGGGTAGAGAAAGAGGCGTTAATCCAGAGTACTGTAGCGATGTATTCTCTCAAAAATTGAATTACTGGACAAGCACAGGTTTTACTCATTGAAATGTGCATTGTGACGAGGAATAAAATGTCATTGTTATTCACTGGTATTCACCGTAATGACAAAATCAATAGATCCCTCAGTAGTTTGGTCCAATAGATAAGAAAAGAGACGTAAATAAGGTCAAGGCATAGCAGCCGATGGACCGAGTGACAATAGCCGAGGGGGTTGGTAGTTGAGATTTTTCTAGCTGAGAGAGCTGCCTCTTGGCTGTGGAATATGCAGATTTTACGGTTGAGTCATTATTCCAACTTCCATCAGTTCTAAATGAAAAAGTTTCTTTACTCATGAGAAGAAATACCCTACTTTGTACACGACAAACTAAGACAATAGACGCGATAACACATCTTTTCAATCTCAATCGATCTTTTATTTATTAGTAAAATTGTAATTTGTTTGATTGATTGCAGGTTTTTTTCTCCATAACTTACAAGAAGGAGAACCAGCGTCAGTACGAGTTGAAAACAGCCACGGAGGCGGACTGCAAGATGTGGATCAATGCAATACAGGGAGCCAGGTAATCATTTTAGCCCCCCCCCCTTTTGCGCCCCTTTTTCACGTCAATGTCTCGTTTTACTCCACTTTCAAATCGGTCTCCACTTTTGTCTCTGCGTGAGAACTTTGTGGGATGAATTTTTTATCCGATCCATTCACACGCATCAAAAAAGAGATAGGTAGTTACGCTCTTCTTCGTCACGCGGTAAAAAATATATGTGTTTTATGATATCCACGAGTAGCTATACGTGTGACAATTCAAACATGTTAAACTCAATTGATTTACAAAAAAAAAGTAAAGTAAAGCCATAGAGACTTGGAAAAGTCTTCTACTGCTTTATTTGCTGTTATCACGGTTGAATCAGAATACAAGTAGTTGTTACTAGTTTTGAGATGTTTAAAGCAAAAAAATAATCTGTAACAATCACGCATCAATCAAAATACATTGTGTACTAAAGCTTGCTTAATAAATGGTTATTTTTTTCTCTACTCAGGAATGACAACATGTTTTCTTTCGAAAAATACTTTGTATATACAACATAGTTTCAAAAGTTACGGACGCAATCGATTAATGTTTTGAATATAAATGAAAATATCTCGCTAGGGCCAGAAAAATTTGAGCAAGAAACGTCTTGACCAGTTGTTTCGCCACTTTGTAATCCCAACTGTTGCAGCTTTAATAAGCTGCTGCTGCAAAAGGAGGAGCTGGAACAAAAGCACTTGCATCTATTGCAAATCGTCGAGAGCGAAAAAACAGCCAAATGGCAGTACACTCAGCAGTGCGAGGAGCTCACCTCCGAGATAAAAAAACTCCGGGCTGAGGTGAGTCGAGGAATTCCAGTTGTTTCACAGCTTAACCAAAGGGATACGCACCCTTAATGTTATTTTCAAATTCTTTCACAGTCACTTGAACTCAACTGCTTTGGGTGATCTCCAAATTCTTTTCATGGCTTTAAATGACTGTGAAGTTTTTTTTTACTTTGTTTGATTAATTTCACTAACTTTTTCTGCGTTAAGTGATGACTTTTTTTAACCTCAAATTGCTTGTTTGGATGAATCATTTACATTTGAATTAATTGCAAAACCTCTTTAATTGCAAATAACCTGGGTCAGTTTATTTTAATTGACAAAAAATCTATTTTTTCAGCTTATTTACAATTTGCAACTTGAATTGCTGTGATTACAATTATTAAAATTCTTATTAATGAAAAAAACTTTCTCATGTTTTTTAATAAGATTCTCAAAGTGCATTGTTTGATCAAAGCGCTTTTACAAACAAAGTCCTCCAAAGGCCACGAAAATACTTTAAAATTATTTACGCTGAAGTCTTTCAAAATGTCAAAGTAACCGGAATTTCCATCAAGACATTTCAGAGCGCAATTCATAAACACAACGAATAGCAACGAAAAAATTTTCCAAAGGCTCAAAATGTCTGAAAACAAAGGAGCTCGGAATAAAAATTTCTCTCAGTGGGGGAAAAATAAGCTAACCCGATGCCATTTCAGCTATGCGCTCTGAAAAAGGAGCTCAGGCCAAGCATGTCGAGCGGACGGTACAGCTTCCAGAGAACAATGTCACAGTCTCTCGGTGGCGCTGGACCTCCATTGGGCTTACTCTGCACTGGCACTCCACAGTCGAGCTTCGAGAGCGAGACAGCCTTCAAGAGCATCTCCGAGGGGAGCATCGAGATGCAGAAGATCAAAAAAGTCCAGAGCTTCTTCCGTGGCTGGCTGTGCAGGCGACGCTGGAAGCAGATTGTCGAGCAGTACATCAAAAGTCCACACGCCGAGAGCATGAGGAAGAGGAACAGGTAAGTGTTTACTTTCTCACATTCCATGGCTAGTGATTTTTTCTACCTTTTTCTTTTTTACTTGAAGACAACAAAGATGTATCGGTCCATTTTTATTAATCCACAGCTCAGCTTGGCGCGTAAAGTATGGGAACAAGAGTAAAAGAACTGTGATTTGTTATTTTTACTTAGCTTTCGAAGTTCTGCTCGTACCAGTGTAGTTTTTTTGCGATTGTTTGTAATGAGTCTCACTCGTGTTTCTCTTGAAAGTGATTTATTGATCAAAAAGGTCGACGAAGAACATACACGGGTTTTATAGGGTGCAAGGTCAATTCCACGTCCCATTCGTAGTTTGTAAGACTTTATTTCTTCCAAATTTTAATGATGTGGTCACATTTCAAATGTCACTGTCCCGAAGGAGCTCATGGTCTGATATTACAAAAATTTGCAGAATTGTAATTGTTACCTCTTATCACTGTCAGCCGAATCAGCACTTTCTTTAATATTTGGTCGTATTGACAACTTATTTTGTTTTTTCTTCTTGGCCAAATATAAAAAAAAAAACTTAATTGTCAATATTTTTTTACATAAAAATTGATATCTTGGTAGTTTTTGTCTTTAACTCCCGTAGCAGCAACCATGTTAATCAAACGATAACTTGTTCTCTGTAATTGTTATGATTACCTACATTACAAGCGTAAATGTTGTACGCATTGAGTGCCAAGTCAACTTAAACTGATGATCTTTGACATAAAAATAAAAGCTTCTCAAACATCCTTTGCGAACGTCACTGTTCGCCTATCGAGTAATCACCACCTTCGTTCTTCAGTTTGGTGTTCCAAATGGTCGAAGCGGAAGAGGAGTACAACGAGCAGATGGAGGTGCTGGTCAGCTGTTTTCTGAGGCCGTTCAAAATGGCCGCGAGCTCGAAAAAGCCGCCCTGCAGTCACGAAGACGTCAACAGCATATTCCTCAACACGGAGACCGTATTATTTCTGCACCAGATATTCCTCAAGGGCTTGATCTCCCGCATGGAAAGCTGGCCAACCTTGGTTCTAGGTAAGTCGGCGCATACTCGACACCCCGTGTCTTCCCATATACCGATGAAAAAACCTCTGGAGACACATGCCACTATGGTTGATTGTCTCTGGGGAGGAATTACTATACGCGCATCATATTTTCACAGGGGATCTTTTCGACATGCTGCTTCCCATGCTGTCGATTTACCAAGAGTACGTTCGCAATCACCATTACAGCCTGCAAGTGTTGACCGAGTGCAAGCAGTCGCCGCCCTTTGCAGCTCTGCTGTCACGACTCGAGAGCAAGAGCTCGTGCCACGGCAGGACTCTCGAGAACTTTCTCACCTACCCAATGCACCAGGTAAGTTTAGTTTTCAATTTTTTTTTTCGTTTTCTTGTTTTTTTATCAACCCACTCGCTTAACTTGCATCCACCCACGCGGCGCATCGCAATTTCATCGACTAGTGGGACGCGGAGAATTAGGCGTCACAGAGAATTTTTCCTATTCAATTTGCTGTTTTGGAATTAAATTCCAGTTCTGAGAAAGTTACATCTCGGTGGTTTAGGGTGTGAATATTTTACAGTAGCGTTTTCTATCAGTTTTTCATTTACGGGAACTCCGTGCATTCCTGTTTCACCGTCACTGCACTTTTTAAAAATATTCGATATTTTTGTACAATACCTACAAAGCTGGAATATACTCGGTTAACAATATAATTGTTTAATCAAAGTTTATTTTAATCAAAGTTGTGAGCCAATATTTTTTTCTCTAGAAAATTGCTATTGTTTTTCAAATCTGTACTTTTTTTTAATGAAAATCAATACAAAGAAAGTACAAAGAGCGAATTTCCAAAGTAAAAAATCCATGAGTTGGAGTCTTGCGAGGTTAATTTTTCAACAAATTCTCTTTGCATGAGCAAAAGATCGATACCAGACCGGCAGAAGCGAGTTATAGTTCCAACAAAATTACGGTCGAATAAACGTCGAATAATCGCACGCACTGCACCTTTGAAAGGGAAACTCGATAACAAAAAAAAAGCACGTACCAATACGTCCAACCCATAAATACGACTTAAACCAGCAACGGAACACCAATACGATTTCGACACCTACACGGCACCTGGCGTATATTGTAATTGCCATCGAAACAAATCTCCCCTCGAGCATTCGACGAGCCTGTGAGAACCGAGTTGTAAAAAAAAAAAAAAAAAAAATACCCACTCGTGTACTGATCTCTCAAGCGTAAGATTGCGCTCGGATTTTTTTGCGCGTGAGAGGTCAGGCATCGATCGGCTCTAGCGTAGAGGAAAACAGGAAAATATGGATGCTCACTCGTGTGCATCTCCGAGTGCACGTGCCTCTGATTGCGCTATTTTGCCACGAGACCTTTCATTCCTGACTCACAGGGTTTTCCGGAATCATATTTTGTTTTCCTCGTCATCATACACATTTACTCAAAGGAAATTCATTTTTTCTAAACAAAAAATAATTGTATTTTTTACTTGTTTGTTTCAACGTCTGACAACTTTTATACTTGCCAAGAGGTTCACAGACAGCTTTTTTAATTCCCATTTGTTAGATATAAGGTCGAAATGGTATCAAAAATCAACTCTTCACTCGAAATAGTGGTTTCGGTATGATTTTCATTACGATTTCGGAGTAGTTGGCTTATAATCGTATTGTTGTTGCAAATCACTTAACCATGGGATGAAAATAACAACTATAACGCTTCACTTGGGCGTTCTTGTTGCGCATTTCAAGGTGAAAAAAATGGAGGTCACCGCGCTCGAAAGCTCAAAACGCGCCGTGTGTTTCAGGTTCTTTATTATTTCAGTGCGGCATGTACGGGTGGTGGAAGAAAAGAGTTTATCGATCGCTGTTGGAATTTTCGGAGCAGCAGTCTGTTCCCCCCACGAACCAATTTCTTACGCATCCATTATGAATAACGAGCGAAACATTATCCTCGCCTCGGTAAATTTATCAGCAACAAACTTGCGTTTCTACGATTTTTCATGGATTAACAAGATATCATCTACGCTACAATGTTTGTTTGTATACACATATGCATGTGGTGTTACATGTCATACTCATATTTCGTCTCATTGGGATTTCCAAACGCAGTTGGCTGTCTCACATGTATGTGCTGCCGTAAGTTTACGGGTAATTGGCTTCACGCTGGTTTGATCTAATGGTCATTTGGATTTATTTTTCTTGCAGTATTGAAAAACGCAAACATTTTATTCATGAAAAAATGTTTTATCAAAATATATACCTCTTTGTTTTATCGATGGGTACGATTTCACAAATAAGTTATTCCAATTAAAATAAACAAGATAATCGGTCTTCAAACGCTCCTATGACTTTTCTCTATTTTTAAAAATGTTCAAAGGAGATTTGTTTTACTTTAACTTGCCAGTGCTCAAAGAAAAATCAATAATAAGCTTCGAAAAATTGCAAAATGCACGTGATGACTCCTAATTTTATAGTCAAGGTTCATTAACAGTAAATATAATTTGGTTACGAAATTGAAAAATAGGGGCTGAGGCAATCTAATCATTTTTAAATAAAAGAGTTCTGTGAACTTGCAATAAAATATAAGTTGTTTTACCAAAAAATAAATAAATAAAGTACAAAGCACGAGCTCTAGTGAAGGTCTCTACCAAGTTTTACATCGTAATTTTTAGAATAGCAATTCATGCAAACGATTTGGTGAAAAATCTTAAATTGCGTCCTGAATACAGACAAATTTACTTTCAAAACAGTTTTCTTCTGCAAATCACACAAATATGAGACGATACCATACAACGAAGCGCTCAAAGCTAAAACCGTCGCTTTCAGATACCCCGGTACATAACGACGCTGCACGAGCTGCTGGCCCACACTCCGCACGACCACGTGGAGCGCAAGAGCCTGCAGAATGCCCGTCAACAACTCGAGGACCTCTCGAGACAAATGCACGACGAGGTATTATTTTCTTTTTACTTGTTCTCGGCGCGCTTTCCCATTGTCCTCCCTCCGATTGTACGTCGCTCGATCCCTCGCTGTACTCTCGTTTTACTTTTCAGGTCAGCGAGACGGAAAATTTGCGCAAAAACTTATCCATCGAGAGAATGATCGTCGAAGGCTGTGACATTATACTCGACGTCAACCAGGTCTTTGTACGGCAAGGTAAGTCAGCTGAGTAATGGAAGGTTCCACGCTCTCTTTTCATTGCAACGTTTCCCTCGAAAGATTCATCAGGTAAAACACCCCAAAAATAGGCACCACCTTCTTCCAAACATTCGGTAAAAGCGCTGTACGACTAAATCCTTGAGGGTAAATTCTTGCCCAAAAGCTCCTTACCGACAGAAGCTCACGTTTTATCGACACGAAAGCTGCCCATCCCTTTTACTCTTCCCATGGAACATATATCGCGCGAACCGGAAATCCCGCGCAAGCGCGCTCCGTCTGACCAAATCGATACTTATACTACTTGCTGAAATGACGACCGTGACTACGACAGCCCTCCCTCCGTGTACGCAAGTTGTCGGATGCGCGTGTGTACGAGCGGAGTACGTGCCACGCGCGCCGGGTCGGTCGTACCCTTTTCTCAGGGATGGATCGAGTGCTTGGCTGTAAATAGTTGAGTCTATTTTTGGAATATTGACGGTACACCGTATAGATAGCATTGAATAATACTGAGGGTATTTAAAACGAAAAATTTTACCCAATGGCGTAAAGAATGCTAAAAACAATTTTGTTTCCATGTATTAAATGATTACAGATTTTTGTTGAAGGGCATTAAAAAGGCAAGGGCCATTTTATGGAGCTTTATTTTTTTATGGGCCTTAAACTAAATACTTTGGCTGAAACATTAAGTTGCCTTTTTTTTTTTTTTTTTTTTTTTTTTTTTTAGTAGTACTCGTACGAACTTTTTACAGGCAATTTCTCTTTTATGTTCCTTCTTGAAAGGGATAAAAGATTTTCAAAATTATTGCCTATATAAGGTGTTTTGCGATTAAATGATGGTGCTTCTATGAAATACGATGCACTGATAACTAAACCCGTGATGGAAAAATGATGTTTTGAAACGATTGAGAATTAATTGAACCCAAGGATTTCTTAATTGAATCCTACAATAAATCAGTTGTATATTCTTTACGAAAAGGCAAATGCTGTACGGAACCAAGATCTCTTGTAAGTCCATAAATAATGTCTTCATTTCAAGTGGTAGCTTGTAAATTATCACGAAAATTTGGAACTTCCAACTTAACTTTATCAGTTGAAGCATTGAAAATTTGTTTCCAGTTTATCAAAAGTCCGGAATTTCCAACAAAACTTTCAAGTTGTCTGCCCCTCGGGTGTTTTATAAAAGTGTAGGGTTTTCTAGGCACCCGAGCACGCTCCTGGTGAGCAACGCGTGCGCCTTTTCTCTCTGGCTCACGCGTCATAGAGCAACAACGCTAGCGGGGAAGCAGCAGTAGCTCCGTTCCACCATAAATCTGCTCACCCCCCAAACGACGGGGAAAACAAAATATCTCTGGGCGCGTTAAAAAAAACAATACACCCTGTATTTTTGTTGCTCCTGTGGAGAGGAAGTAGGTCAACGAGTGCAAGGAAACTAACAGGATGACAATCGCTAGTGAAAATCGGGTGTTGAAACAGTTCCGTGTAAACAGTTGCCTCCGCAGTTTATCATAGCCGTACAGTTTGCTCAGACTCTACATGTGGGTGTAGGGGGAGCACGGAGAGGGGAAATCTGGATTTATTCTTGTTTAAACGAGATCGAAGGTCATTGGGCCGAGTCTTCATACGGACGAGGGTACACTAATCTAATTGTAACCTGATAAACAAATGATAAAGAGTCGTTCTTTGGATGCGAGATAAGGAATGATCAAGTACTGTGTACATATACATTAAATACCGTGAGCAATATTACCGTTTACGAAGGCTGAATGAGTTTGACATAGAGTACAGGAATATGTGTACTTAGAGAGGGGATGAGAATTTTAACGTGGAAATTGTAAAAGCTGGGACCAATGGAAAGTAGCACAAGATTAGAAATGTACAATTAGCTAAAATCCACGCAATTTACTCTGTTCGGGACCAAAAATACTTATTGTAGGTACATCGGTAATTTCACGTTCTCATTTCAATCTACTTACCAGATGTTGATGAAAAATTCCTTTCAAGCCACAAAAAGTGTTGTATAAAAGTTATGTGTATCATTTCGCAGGACAATTGAGGCAAATTTTAGAGAAATCAAAGGGCGCTCGGAGTCTATTGAGTGCGACGTTTGGCGGAAAAAGCGGCGACAAAGAGTCAATCAGGCAATGCTTTCTTTTTTCGAATCATTTGATACTAACGACGCGACAGAACGACGACGACGGCCGCCTCAGTTTAGTACCACAGATCGGAAAAATACCTCTATCGGATGCAGTTCTGATTGAAGACCCGAGTGAACAAAATGCAATTGATGACGATGGTATGGTCTTTGGCGTGTAAAATAGTATTAAACGAGTAAGAATTCCAAAATGCTAAATTTTATGATCACGAATGTTTAGCACAATCTGTCTACTCAATATTCAGCGAAAGCAGTGGAAGTGGAGGAACACCAGGTTCTGGTAACGCCGTTCCACTGCAAAATCGTGATTTCAAGTTTATTTTGAAAACGGGAGGAGAGAATCGACAGGTCACGATTCACCTGGTTGCACCTACAATGCAGGTAAAATAACGTTTTGTTTGTTTCAAAAACCATATCCCACAGTAATTTGCGTTTTAAAAAACGTCAATCAATAGGAAAAAGCTGCATGGATAAGCGACATCAGCCAGTGCATGGACAACGTACACTTCAATGAGTTACTGCACGGTTCGTTGTCAGACACAAGTTCTGTGACGATGCCGCAGTCCATAAAAAACGACCCAAAGCTCTTTAACGACGACGTAGATATACGCTTCAGCAGCACGCTCAACTCGTGTAAGGTGCCCCAGATACGCTACGCGACGCCCGAGAGGCTACTCCAGCGGCTCACGGATCTACGATTCCTGAGCATTGATTTCCTCAACACGTTTCTGCTGACTTATCGAGTGTTTACCGATGGTGTCACAGTCCTTGATGCACTTAAAAAGGTTTTCTACGATGCGGAGCCTCCTGACGCTCAGAATCAAGGTGGCTCTTTGGCGTGAGTTACTAAATCATTCAAGTTGTTGCACTGGTTGTTTGATATTTGAAGAAATCAATTAAATACTTTCAACTTGATTTGCAGGTCCTTGGACGTTTCGGGGCTAAATGTGGCAGAGCCGACGCATTCCTTGGATGATCGGAGGAGTAGTTCGACGCCGAGGAGAATAAGTGGAGCTAGCTCAGTTTCTGGTGAGTACAGTTAATCTCTGAGGTCGATGTGTAGTGGTTTCAAGTATTTTTTTTCTAATTAAAGTTCTGTACAGAAGATAATGATTTTCTTAATACGAAACTATAAATATCAGCTAGAAATTATTAAGTTTTTTGTCCCAACGCTTCCTTGGAGTTGTGAAAGAATTTATTATTTTTGTACAAGCAGGGTATGGTTCTGAAATAAGCGAAAGCCGAGAAACAGCTGGTAGCAGTGGCTTTGAATCTGGTACGAGCACCAGTGCTTCCAATGTGAAACCTTACAGTCGGATGGGTTACAAAAAACGTGAGATTATTGAAATGTTGAAATGACTTTTTATAATAATTTAGGAGATATTAATACTTAATTTATTTTCAACATTATCAATGAAATAGACGAAGATCCACAATTGAGCCAAATCTCGGAGACCCCAACGATAGTCAAGGGAACTCCAGGCTATCCATCGTCAAGCATTCCAGGTGAAACTCAATCCCCAGTCAATTTACGAAGGGTTAGCATCCGCGTTGGTGAAAATACCAGTTCCGAAGATGATGGCTGCCACTTGACTATTCCCCAAGTAATAGCCGTATCCTCCAGCTCAGAAACTCTGACAGGTATAACATTGAGTACAAAATTGATTGGAAATATTGTAAAATGCTTAAAATGATGAGAGTATTTTTGTGATATGTGTAAGTTGGAATGATTTGCATTTTTTTCGTAAGATATTGCAGCAGTGAGTGCACCTTCATCTCCAAGTAACTTGAGTTCCGTTACTTTGGTCGGTTCTACTGGGTCTGGCTCTGGTTCTGATAAGAGTCCTCAAGACGTAGGTGAAACCCCGTACTACCGAAGCATTTCCGAAGAGACTGATGACACTCCGGTAGCTACCAAAGATAACATGAAAGATGGTTTGTTCTATTATCGACCAAACATTTGTTATATCACCTATATGACGAAAGTAATAAGTGATGCTTCCATAGGAGTGCATTTTTGGTACAAAGAAATATGTCCACCGTCACCAAAAACACCAAAGGTCGACAATACGCGCAAGCAATCGCCTTGTCGTCAAACTCGCGGTCGATTGGAGTCTGATAAGGATGAGAACAGCTGGACTGACGAGGAAACGACACCACGAGCCGAATTTTTTCAGCCTTTACAGGGCCATGATAATCATCATCATCCACATTATTCAGACCACAGACCATCAGTTGCCTCTACCCTACCTTCAACTTCGAGAAGTGGTTCAATATCAACAATTGCTGGGGTATGCAAAAATAAAACCATACTTGTAAAGCTATTTTTAATACAAGAAGTTGTAAACATGCATCCACATTTTTGTCTTTACAGAATTATTGGTCCAGTAGACGTTCCATCCAAGAATGTGAAATGAGCGGACAGCAGGGATCTCACACCCACGACATACCGCAATCGTCCAGTAAAGCTGGGGTGGTTGTAACAAGCTTCCGACGAAGTAATCGAAGGTTGGTCACTGATATTTACGCTTTTCCTTCAATTAGCAGAAAGAATTATTGTGCGAGTTTCGAGTTGGTTTATCAAAAACTTGTTATTTTGATTCGTATTCTGCATGAAATAAACAGAGTGTAAATTGTCCAAACTGTAGTTTTCAAAGACTTCTTTTGAAGAAATTTAAAAAAAATTCCAAATGATAAAAATTTTTTTATCAACATCTATTTACAAGTAAAAATTTTTGTATTCAAGTATCATCTTACAACAAAAATATACTTGAGAAAGCTTGCTCATATTAGTTTATAATTAAGTAAGGTTATTCGTGGATTTCAAAATAAAGAAACAAAGAGAAATAAAGAGTTTACTTTACACAAAGTTTATTCATTTGATTACTGTTCGATGTTAACAAATTTTCAAAATAGCATGTACAATTTACTGCCAATGAAATAATTAACCATCATTAAGTCGTGAATTTAATATATACATTACAAAGTTTTTTCTTGTAATTTTGAAGTAGTACTACTATTCGCTGAAATTATTTATCTCTGGACTGATCTGACGTAAAATGTGCAACTTGATTAATAAATACTTTGATATTTCATCTCTATTATCTAGTAAATTAGGACATTTGGCATCATTGTCTGTCTTAATTATCAAAATTTATTTGAAACAATAACTTATCATCATAAAAAGTATTTTTATATTTTTTTTTCCAAAATTTTATGGTGTTTTCATACTATTCAACATACTTAGCATTGGACCTGACTCTATCTGGTAAGTATTTCAGTTCTCGGCTAAATGCGCTAGTTCTATTAGAATGAAAAGTCTATACAGCAAGCTCACACTTAAATATTTTATTCGAGTACTATAAATTCACTTCAAAAAAACATAGACTAAAAAGCATGGAAGATTTCAAAGATAGTGTATTGAATACAATAGCCTACTTTACTTTCTAACAGCGTATTTTGTTCACCTATATGATAGCAGTCTCAAGTGTTGGGCATGCGTCTTAGAAGTTAGCATGGTAGTTTTAATTATTTAAAAACTCAAGCTTACTTTTAAACTACCTCAGTACATTCGTACATATAAATACGAATACATGTATTTATTGTCGAGCCATGAATTTTCACTATTTGCGACACTTTTATTTTATCACCAATAGGCAAGAAACCACTGACAAATAATGGGCACAACGCTTCCTCAGGCCCTATGCTTTTGACGTTTGTTGAAAAAATTATTTTATATATATTAAGAGATAAATAAAAAAATATGCAATTACACTTTTTAATTTACTTGTAATATACTGTTTCTCATACACAAATCAAGTGTACAAAAAAACAAAAGAAATTTTCATTACATTATATTACGGCTGTTACAGTACCCTATGCAGTTAAAAAATAATTCATTCTATTAAAAATATTGCAACGTTCTTTAATATTAAAAAAAAATAATGCCACATAACTGTAAACAAAAAAAGCCTTGAATCATCAAAGTTGGTCAAAGGATTCTTGAGAAATAATTGGTTACACACACGCCTACGTACAACGGCACATTCACACTGTTTAAAAATAAATATTTTTACCTTCAACAACACTATTAAGCTATTTAGTAAATCTATTTTTAAAATAAGGCTGATGTTGAAACACTAACGCAATCTCCTAATTCTGCAATTTATTCAAAAAATTAAACTTGTATGCACAATAAAGAATATGCATGGATTCACCCAATATTATGATAAAATGCACTAATACGTAGTACTATTTGTAAATATAGAATAGCTTAGTAGTTTAAATAATAGTGAGAAATTATAACTGACAAAAGAATTAATTGTTTGGTTACCACAGAGTAAACTTGATTTGTAAATTATTTTACAAATTAAGTAATTGTATTATAACAAATACTTTTATCTCTTTTGATATATGGTATCTAAAATCTTACTAAAAAGAATCTTACTTTGAGGTATTGATACTGATAATACTTTATTAAATGCATCTCTAAAAAACTTACTGACAGTGAATAAATACATCACAAATGTAATCGTTACTAAAAAACATATGAAATAAAATCAATGTTAGGTAGTGATAGTTTCCTTGAAACACTTTTGTTATATATATTCAATCCAAATTTCTTTTCATGTATATTTTAGGAGCAGTACATCATCTGCAGCAACGGCCTTTGCGATAGCCACGTCAGCTTCAAGTAATCCGCCTGATCGTGTACTAGATAACAATCGTGCCTCTTGTCGCGAAAAAAATCGTCGACGAGAGTCGGTGATGTCAACAGCTGCGACCATGCGAGTCCTCAACGTATTGAGGCACTGGGTCTCAAAACATGCTCAGGACTTTGAACTGGATCACAAGCTTAAAAGCTTGACAATAGAGTTTCTCGAGGACATTATATACAGCCCGAATCTCTTACCGGCAGAGCATAAGGCAGCTAGTCAGCTTCTGAGACTGATCACCAGAGAGGAAGCTGCTTTCAATAAAATCGATCTTAGGAAACTGTTGACTCCGCCGACGGTAAAGTATTCTTGTCGTATGATACATTTGTGGTGTATTAGGTAGTACAAAATCTAAAATTTACGTTTATTTTTAGACATCAACTAAGGAAAATATTGAGACGCTGTCTGCGCTGGAAATAGCTGAACAGATGACTTATTTAGATCATCAAATTTTTATTTCGATCGCTAGCGAGTGAGAACTATTTAATTTAAAAAAAAAAGTTACACTGGATTTTATAACGAACTGTGTCCCAATTTTGATGAAAAATGGGTTATACGCGCATATTCTTAAAAGCATTTATGTACAATGCGCTAGAAATATTATTTCAGTATGACCAGAATTAAAAAGGGAACCATTTTTTGAAGCCTTTTAGAAGAGCTACAAAATTTTAATAAAATTTGAGAAGCAGTGAAAAAGCTTTCGTATATTTGTAGGACTAAAATGCTCCCACCCACATAAATGTTGAATCTCTAGACTACATAAAATACGTCATTAATACTAGCCTAAACCTTGGTAGAAACGTTACTACATAAACTGGCTAGAAACTCGTCAACATGTTACAAGCCCATTGACGCATGTACGTTGCCGAGTTTCTAGCCAGTTTATGTAGTAATTTTCTACCAGGGAACTCCTTAACGGCAAATATAAATCATTAAATCATTCAGTAGTAATAATAATTATCAATTTATGAAAACTAACTATTAGGACCGATTTGATTTTGGAAAAAATGTAAGTAGCCTAATACCATTTGAGTGCTCCAATTTATGTAAACGCAAATCAATTGGACCATCGTCTTTTGATAAAAATTCCAGATTTGGTTAAGGGCTCCACATTTTCTAACACAACAAAAGATTTGTATTGGGACACAGTTTTTTTATTAGGATACAAATTAACTGTCTAAAATAAAATGTGGACTACTAAAATGATCAGCATTTTTTGTACTACAGAGAATTCTTGGGTCAAGCATGGATGAAGGCAGACAAATCAACAAAAGCTCCCCGCATAACGTTACTGACGAAAAGATTTAACGAAGTTTCTCAGCTTGTTGTCTCTGAAATAGTTCGCAGATCAAGCTTGCAAGCTCGAGTTGCCGTGATCGAAAAGTGGACGGCCGTGGCTGACATAAACCGAGTGATGCACAACTATAATGGAGTTTTGCAGATTTGTGCAGCATTTACTAACAGTAGTGTCTATCGGCTCAAAAAAACTTGGGAAAAAGTGTCAAAAACGGTACGCAAACTTGCAAGTAATATTCGTACCAAGTTCCAATTTACATAACGACTTTTAACTCTTGTTTCAGACGAAACAAATGATCGAAAGATTACAAATAATTGTTTCATCAGAGCACAGATTTAAAAATTTAAGGGATGCCTTGCACCGATGCGATCCACCTTGCATTCCCTACCTTGGCATATATCTCACTGATCTGTCGTTCATAGAAGAAGGCACCCCCAATTTTACAGATGATGGCCTTCTGAATTTTTCCAAGATGAGAATGGTACAGTACATAGAGATTTTATAGACTAATTGAAATAGTTTAGATATTTCTAATGATATTTTGATTGACAGATTGCTCACGTGATACGCGAAATACGACACTTTCAGCAAACTCCTTATAAAATCGAGATTAGCAAAAAGGTCGTACATTACTTGTTGGATCCTTCACTTCTGCTCGAAGAAGACGAGTTGTACCGTTTGTCTTTGGAGATCGAGCCAAAGACCACGAGACTTAGCAGCGCGACGTTAATAGGTCTTCCGCCCAACATAGGTGCAAATCTAAGGAAAGATTCATGAGAGTAATAAGAATATATATGCAACGTATATTACTTCTGATTTTATTTTCATAATTTTTACGCTAGAACTTTGATAGTGAGATTTTGCTTTACAATTAATATTCCTTTTCTTTACATTTACCTTTTGACTAATGAACCCCTAGTGGATATGTATGTATCTATTTTTTAATATTCACGTCGATCGCAGAATTGAGAAATCTAATATTTATCTGTACAAAAAATTTTAATAGAAATAGTGAATGCTGATTGATACAATATTTATTATGTGTTTTGGAGATTAGTACTTTCAGATATTAATAATAAACTCTAAAGATAATTGTTACAAAAATTTTGTTCAAAGTGCCAAACACAAGCAGCGCATTTTTAAAATCAATTATCAACTTCCTGAATATTACGTTTAATGAAACTTTACTATTTACTGCTGGTCAGTATAAAAAAAAATTAATAATAATAACAAATTAACGGGAAGTATTTTATAGATGAGAATGGATGGGCTCATGATATCGATGAATCATCAGATAACATTTTATAAAGTAAAAATATTTCTTAAATCTTATAACACAAAAGTGTTTTCTTTTTCTTCTAAGAATATTATCTGTGATTAAAAAATCTTATATTAAATACTGATATATGAAGAATGATCTACAACATGTACTACAGCTTGAAGTCAACAGGTTGATTCAATTTTACAATTGTTTACGTTACAACGTTAAAGCTTTATGATAGTTACATTTATAAAAATTATACTTTGATATGACCACAAATGTTGTTCTATTCACTTGTTTCTAACGACTGTTACCTTATTAAATTTTGCTGAAAGATAAAACCTTTATAAATCAAATTGTACATTAGAAAGTTCACTTCTCAAGATTAGTTAAAACAACAGAAAATTTTTGTATCGCACTTGAAAAATCTTAGTACTTACTTGTAATACAGCGAGAAAAATCATTTGGTGGTGTACAAGCTAGTGGTTGAAAAAGTGTTTTGTCTTTCTATAAGAACTGTCAACTTTTATTTGTCAGTATAAAAATCTACAATCCAGGGTAAAAAGCATGTAGAACTTTTGTTGATATTTTTTAAAATTTGAATCTTTGCCAATTTATTTGTAGTTTAGATTAGAAAAATGAAAGCATAAGTATTTCATTAACAGTTTAGCTTAAGTTAGCTATTCGATGTTTATAGTTCTAGTTTTGTTTCAATATTCAGGCTTAGGCAAATCAATAGTGTACCATTTAGTCACACAAATGGATATAAATATATAAATTAAGTAGATTTTATGTACCACGCGTTTGACAGTATTATAAAAATAGAGAAAAAAAAANTTCGTAGAAGAACCATGCACAACTGAAAGACATACATAATATATTGCATTTATTTAACCAAAATATTATTGTTTTTTTTTTTTTTTTTTTTTTTTTTTTAAATAAACTGACAAAGATAGTTTAAAGTATTACTTACTAGAGCAGGAGTATGTTTTTATTATTAATATTAGCAAATGAAAAATACATTGAGGCTCACTTTTATTTTTCATCACCTATTATTGTTGCGTATGTGAAATTTAGCCTCACATTATTCAACCTTAACTGCTTTATTGTCAAATATTGACACACTGTTTCAAATTATAATCAATTTGTGAATTCTAACAAAATTTTAACCTTGTGATGTAGATGCAACTAATTTTGGAATTCAAAAAAATTTTATTTTCTGAGTACGATGAACAGTGATGAAGATTGATTACGAGTATTTCAAATGATTAAACGTATACAATTTCACTATTTTCATAATATAGTTTAATAATCATATTATCTTTAACGATGTGCCATTATAACAACTGTTCGCTAAATTCAGTTGTATGTGACACTAACTATAACTCAAATTTCAAAATTAACATTTTGAAGGAATAGATTATTAGATACGTATGTTTAATTATTTTTATTAAAAATTAACATAAAAGTTTTTTTTTACATCCCTTATCTTTTATACGATGTAAAGTAAAAAATTCTGCAACTTGGCTTTTCTTTCAAAATAATAATAATTGTTCGATCATTTTTTATTAAAATGGGAAAGAAAAACAAGATATTTTATGTGGATTTGCTAATATATATAAATACACACAGAGATATAATTGAATTAAAAATGAAAAATAGGGTTTTACATTGACTGAAACTCATACCCACAATTTTTTCCTCATGGTGTGATATTGTGGGCAAAACACGCCCCATCAAGAAAATTTTATTAAAAAATGGGGGACAAGGACGGTATATGTTTTATGAATCAACTCATATACAAACACCTGTTCACAAGTTGGTCAGATGCCTTAAAAAAGTAGTCTAGAAAATAAATATTCTTTAAATTTTTCAAAAATTTTGCGGATGATGAATTTATAATATCATTAAGTACGGGCTGTAATTTTGAAAGATTTAGTTTCAGATACATGGAAGTTGATGGATCGGCTGACTTTATTCATATTATATATAATTTGCATTGAACTAATCAAGTGATCTATCTCTAAGCTTGGTTTTCAGCGCATATTCTTAAATTTCTATAAATAAATCATTACCCGAGTCGAGCGAATATCTCGTCACTGGTGCATGAGTAACGGCTCTCTTACGATTAATAGATTTCCACTTTTTTACAGTGTAAGAAAATACATTCAGTCGACAGAAAATTTTTCTCTTCATTCTTAGAAAATTCTCTTTGGTATGTTAGTGACAATAGTAATAAAAATTCATTGGTAGAAATTTTTATATTATACTTTACTACTAGTAAGATCGAAATAAAGATTAAGCTAGCACTGAAGTAAGTCAGTGATTCACCGTGAGATAAGCCTGCATGTAGGCATTAGTCGTTCTCTGTCTTCCCACGTTGATTCTATACGGTGCCGTTCAGTGGAATTGACATGAACTATACTGCCTCTCAACAGTTGCTTTCTATATGACTATCTTCTCTTTTCCTATCCTTTTTCTTAGATCTTGTATTCTAAAAAGTTTTAAAAAGTGTAATTTTTTATAATAAATTTGATGCCTATTTCAAAACGTATTTTGTTGAAATCAATTTTGACCTTTTAAAAGCAACTTCAGATCTTATTTCATTGGACTGTTGTAACAATTAGAAAATAAAAGTACATTCAAGTTGGCTTGGTTTTTAAGGTTTAGTAATGAGCATATAAATATACTTTATAGAGCCCTTGAGTACAATCAAAGCAATTTACTACTCATCATAGTAATTTTTTAAGTCATATCTAATATTGTAATGGTCTAAATGATTGAAAAACTGTTTAATTCATGATATTTTTCATTTTTTTCATAAATAATATTTTTAAATAACTATAGAAAGCTTAAAAAATACTTTTTAATTCGTTTATATAAAAATTTAAAAAATCTAAATTAATAAAATACTTAATTTTGTTGGAAATTTTTTAATCTTGTCGATTTATTAACACCATCAAATGATGCAAGACTATACTAAAAGGTAAAAAATTGGTTTTTTCGAACAAAACAATTTTTATAAATTGAAAAAATGAAAATACAAAAAAAAGTGCAAAAAGAAATTATGACATGACTGTTTACTCACACACACACGCATGGGAATACATACACACACTCACACAAAGAAAGAGAGAGATGAACATTTTATCAAAAGTAATGTACTTTGATTTTGAATATGTGTCTTTAGTGTGCAAACTCGATGATATGTATATATGTATATAAATAAATCTTCTTTTATCAGAACCAAAATCTCGTTATTATTATTTGCAAAACAATGGATCTCTTCTGTCTCAATTTTTTTTCTAAGTTTAAAGCAACCTATTATTAAAAATCTACATCACAATAGCAGAAAAGCAGATGCAAGCACGTTTTTCACTCTCTACAGTTCTCCTCTTTATTTTATGAGTGTAAATAATTTGAATGTCAATTTTCATGAGGCATTCTATTGCAATAACCTATTTTTAAAATTATTAAATTCAAAATACAGTCGTCAAAGATATACTATTCCTTGTTTACGAAATTTAAGTGACGTTTAAAAAAATAATAATAACTTGAGCTGGTCGGGGGAGCAGGGTATGGTAGACGTGGTACCTTGGATATATACACATATAAATATGTGTGTGTGAGTGTGCGTGTGCGTGTATATTTGACTGCACTGTGCGAGAGAGATAGATTCTCTCCCTCGGTGCTATCAGTGCTGTGTCTCTTTCTACCTAAGCTTCAATGCAGTACATTGGAATGAGCAATCTATCCTTTTTGAATTTTTCCCCTTCCAAAAAATTTTCTGGATTAAAGCCCAATCGGATGTTAAATTTTAAAGATAGTCGATCTGCATGTTGTATTTATAAGTGGTGGTTACACTCCTTTTTATTGAAAATGTGAGGCGCTCCTGTTAAGCAGTCATGCCTAAAAGTAACGTTAATTTTATCGAAATCAAGCCATGCAAACCTGAAAAATAACTGATTGCATACAAACAACTGCTTACATCCACGCATACTAACATACCTTATTATTTTATAATCGTTTAAATCTATTTTTCTGTAGAAAACCTCTTTGATTTTTTTTAATGAAATATCCTAAATCAACAATAATAAGTTGAAATTTCGATTTTTTGAAAATGGACTTTTAAAAATCGATAATATCGAAAAGATCCAAATGAATGAACAATAATAATTGACGAAACCGAGATCATAGTCTGTGTCAGTTGTAGTTATTTAAACAAAAAAAATGAGCTGAGATTTATTAGAATCTTTTTGTTAAGTTTAAAATATTGAGGTACGATAAATAATATTATTTGCACTTATACACATTGTTTTTGTTTTTTTTGTTTGAAGGAGTGGGGAGGGCCAAATCTTCATGGACACCCTAGCTAATCCGGTACTTATACACCTACTCATGCGTACATATTTTTTTTTTTTTTTTTATATTAGAGTGCTCTACGTCCGGCTCCTTTATTAAGCGCACTACTATGGGCACTTAGCACTTGGGAGAAGGAAGGGATGAGGGGATGGGAGGCCTCCCATTATTGGGAGGGGGGTAGGAGGAAATTAGGCAATTATGTTGCGAGAAGGTCGCCTAAACCCTCCTCGAGGAGCATTGCGTGGTGAAAAAGCACATGTAAAAATATACACAGAGGTACTTGCCCGAAAAAGTCGCACTATGGCCGGGAATCGAACCACGGTCTCCCGCGTGCCAATCCACGCCCTAGCCGACCGAGCCACCGCGCGCTCCCATGCGTACATATAGTTCTATATTTTTTTGACATTTTTTGTACCTATCTTTAAAAAAAATCATAGTTTATTGAAAATGGTTAAGAAAACTTTAAAATGTGGCTAAATACACACACTCAGAATGAGAAAGAGAGGGAAAGAGAGAGAGAGAGAGAGAGAGAGAGAGAGAGAGAGAGAGAGAGAGAGAGAGAGAGAGAGAGAGAGAGAGCGACACCTTAGCCATAGTAGTTTCAATAAATTCTAAACTTTATGAAACACATTTATATTATGTTACTGCTCAATACTAATCTAAAG